AGAAAAAACATGGGTATTATCCTTAAGTCTTCCGTGTAGTTTATCTCGACCAATTTTTATAGATTGCTCTGACCATGGCCTTTCGGGGACCTGTGTATCGGCATTAGTACCCATTCCTATGGTAAAATCAGTCTTACGTTGCTGTATTTGCTTCGAAATTTTATTAATATCAGGCCCAATCTGTTTCCCTCTGGGATCATTTCCCAAAAATCCTAATGATAATTCAGGATGCCTCACAGGTTCTGTAATACATCCACGCACTCCCTTATAACGTACGTTTAAAATAGATCGAGATTGTGCATCACTTCTACTAGGAATATCACTCTCTAACCAGGGTTCTTCTAACCTCCGATCAACGATCTGCTTTCATACATAGTCAGTATAATAATCTTCTTGATCATGGAATGCATCCACTTGGGCGATGGCATCAATAAGGAGTGGATCAGTTTCTTCCATTTTCCTATTCAATGCAGACAAAGGCATGCCTCCATAAGTTAAAGTTTGCCTATTGCGAATACTGCGAGTAGTTTTTGTACCATACATTAGAGGTATACAATAAATTATAAAAGGTAATATATTATAATTAATCGATTATTCGTTTCAACGGAAGTAAAGACAATGTATCATTAATTCATGTATAACTTATTTATATATAACTACTTTATGACTGCCTTTGGTAATTTATCTAGACTTTTATTTATGACTCGAAGAGTCACCCTATGGCCTACTATTTCGTGATGATTAATAGTTTTTTTTTCTTGATATATGTTTTTTGATATCATGTACTAGTTTTGCTGAAGACACAAAAATTTCCATTGTAGTATATCGTTTTAAATTTACCTTTATAAATATATTCAATCAACATGCCTCGTAAAAAGAATAAAAAATGTTCACAATCCGTTTCATCTATAAATACTATTGCAGAGCAATGGCTCGAAGAGCCTACTAACCCAGTATCTGATAAGTCGCAATTCACAACCACTACATGTGCAGTAACAGCTACAGAATTGCAAGAACTTTTACAGCAAGGGGTTAAGCTTAAAAAAATTAATCAAGTATTAGAATATAATCGAGATAACGATCCCTGGATTGATAACTTCATTCATCTTTCAATGGAACTCGAGAAGCAGAGCAAGGATCCTAAAGAGAAAGCATATCACAAATTAATGAGAGAAATCTTTAATACAAAGATGTTTTATGAAGCATCCAAACAAGATAGGTTTGAATCCCGAGCAGAGTATTATAAAAATAAAATAGAAGACTGTGTATTCGAGTACCTTTCTCAAGTGGGAGAAAATAAAAAAGGATGGTTATCTCGTGGAGCAGTTGGGACATTGCGTCAAGTAATAACTTCGCAAAAAGTATTGGATTTGCTTGATATAGCTGAAAATAAAGGACTCGAAAGTCCCAGTCAAATTATCATTTAATATATAGACACTTCGCAACTACTTTTGGCAATTAATTAATATACATATAACTAATTTTATACTATTTTTTTTGATTTTTACATATCAGCCTGTTTTATGGGTCACAAAAATCTCTAGTGTAGATAATAAATCGCGCTTGTTAATTTTACATCTACTCTAACTACAAATCGGCAGGATTCGATCAGCTCTTAAAATAGAGTGGCAGATAAGATGTATTTATATTATTATATTAATAAATAACGAAAAAATAAATATTCAGTTATCAAACTAACCATATAAATGTGATTTTATTTTTTTTTGCGTATCGCAGTCTACATATATTAAATGAATCTACTGTATATCTATAAATAAACAAGAAACAATTTATCCAATAATTATATCATGGTTAACCAAGAAATACAAACTTCAGATACTGTCCCAATTTGTACATGTGAACATGCGGATGAAATCAATTGTTACATTAAGAAAGAGTTGAATGATTTGTCTCGAGAATTGCTTGAAAACAGCAAAAAAACTTTTGGATCTCTTATGCAAGAAATCACTAAACAGTTTGAGGAGCAGGTTAATATTAATAATAAATTGCGCAGTGAAATAGATCGACAGAAGTTGTTATTGCAAGAGGACAGAAAGAAAACTTGAAAACTTGAAATCGAAATCTACTTATTAATGGATGTTTTAGTATAACTGAAAAAAGTAATTATGTGTTGAAGGCATTAGTTTCGCATTATTGCTTATTTTACCAATCTATGTCTAGTGTCGGTTTTTTGCTTAATAGGAAGTAGATTGATTTATCAGAGATAAACGGGCATTTCTTTACATTGAGAACCGACAAATTGGAACAATGGTATGCAATTTCATATATCGTTTTATCAGTGATATGAATATATTGAAAACTAAGATTCTGAATGTTTGGACATGAACGGACTATATTGCATACAGCATCATTTGTAATTCCATAACAAGAAGTGAGAATAAGCTTTTGCAGATTTTGATTTAACTGTGCAATTTTTTTGATTGATTTATTGGTAATCTGTTTACATTCTTCAAGAAAATAACTTCGCATATCTGGACAGCCAGTTGCAATTGCGCATATAGCTTCATCTGTAATTATATCATTAAAAGACAAGTCTAGATGTTGGAGATTTACACATGAGCGTGCAATTATACAAATTGATTCATTATTAATAAAAGGTTGTCCATTGAGGTTTAAATATACTAGATTGAGACAAGATCGTGCTATTTCAATTACAGATTCACTGTAAATATTACTATCTCTATATAAAGAAGCGAGACTTATGTATTTTAAATTTGGGCAAGATCGTGCTATTTTAAATATGCATTTATCAGTAATAGCTTTACATGCATCAAGACTCAGATGCAATAGTTTCAGACAATATTTTGCGATTTTCATAATTGGTATATTACTGAAACCATCACTTCGATCAAGAATGAGAAAGTTTATATCTGGACATGAACGCAGAATTGCAATGAGTAATGCATCCGAGATTTTTAGACCTGCCAATTTAAGATATATTATTTTTGAGCAATAGTGAGATTTTATTTTTTCACACATAACTCTTTTAAACTTTTTAAATTGCCAATAAAGAGGTCCAGATGTATTTTTACCCCATCGCCTTTGCTGATTATCTTCTATGGAAAATTCAATGCGTCTCCATAAAATTGGTGCACTGCAGTAATACCAAAGGCGATTGACGAATAAAGCTGGATAGAGCGTTTTATCCTTGACTAAGAAACTAAATATGTTTTCGAGCAACTCCGGAATAATGAGAAGGTGGGTCATGTTTGCTTCTTTATATATGTATTAAGAAACTTGAAGTGGTTTTTATATCCTTGGCGGAATTAGTATAAATGGTTAAAAATTTAATATGTGTTTACCCATACCGGCTTTTGGTTGAAATCTCGCTCTATTCATCAACTTGACAGATAGGTACATCCCAACCAAGCTGAAAAATGTCTTGCATATCTGAAATTACGCTCTGGTTAAGTAGAACGTTTATTATCAAAAACCTTATGAGGTTTTATCCAATCGAGGCCGTGGGGTTATGACCCCACTTTTAATGCCTCGATTTCCTTTTCTAGATCAAGAGGACTGTCCCATCGAAGTGAGAAAGACTCAGATCTGGGTTTATTCACATTAATAACTATAAACTCTTTTTGCCTCAGATATCCATCAATAATTTTCGCGGCCATGTGTGGATCGGCATCAGTATATGGAGCTATAATATCTGCAAGCTTTCGAATCGAGCCCCCACCATTACAGAGTACAATATGGGTAGCATTTTCACGGAAATCTATAGGAATTTTATGAAATTTTTGAGCAGTGTAAATTGAAGAGATATTCTGATGTCGACCTCTACTAAAAAATGGAATGATTTTTTTCTGTATAGTTGGAGGGTCGGAGTAAAGATCCTCAAATATCATTAATGTACTTCTTTTAGCATCGAATTTTTTCGGATCTGGAATTTTATCAGGTGTAAGTGTAGAAAATGTAACATCTTCGTAATATGGCTTTGATTTGTCTTGCGCAAGATATTTAAAGAAATTTTTAACTATTCTATATTTAGGTTCATTTAAATTATGTCCTACGAGAACTACATCATCGCATTTAACATTACGTCCCCTTATCTCGCTGGAAGCAGTCCCTTTGTGGCTAGATCTCTTTTTCTTTTTAAACATGTAATAAATTTTAGGCATTGTTAACAAGTTTAAAACGATATTGGTCTTACCTGAATTGCTAGCCCCCGCAATTACGATACGAAAAGCCCATGCTGGTGCATCTTTATCTCCCTGGTATTTCTTTGAGGGTTTTACCTCATCCACAGCGAAAATTACATACTTCATCCCGATTAAGCTAAGTAATACTAACTATTATATTGAAAAAATAATGATCGGGTTTATCGATAACCTTTTTAAATATGAGTATTAACAAATTTATATACATCTAGGATAATGATGACGACCAAGTATATATATGGAAGTTTTAATACTTGGCTTTAATCTTTTTAAGGTATTTACTGCAACTTTGGTAATACGCCTACAATCATCAATATTAAGATCTCAAAGATTATGACATGAATTTATAATTGTGTAGATAGATGAATTGGTAATATCACACCCTTCAAGATTAAGCCCCTCCAGATCTTGACATAAATCTGCCAATGTGGAAATACATTCATCGGTTATATGGACCCATGATATATCGAGAGATTTGAGTTTATGGCATGATCTCGCAATAGTCTTTATAGATATATCAAAATTAATATCTCTACCACCAAAATCATAATCTGCGAATGAAAAGCAATGCATATTGGGATGTGAAATAGCTATAGCGCAAATTCCATCATTGGTGATTTTACAAGATTCACCCAAGCGTAAATGACAGAGTTTTGGGTAAGAATATGCAATTTCTTTTAATGAGGCGTCAGTGATATTTGGACCTCCTATATGAATATGTTCCAGCTTATTACATGACTTAGCAATTTCGATAACTGAGATATCAGAAATATGATTACTATATTCTAAGTTAAGATAGGTCAGATTTGGACACGAGATTGCAATTTCGCAAAGTGTCTTATCCCTGATATGGTGACATTGGTGAGGACCTTTTGTATTATTGTAGAGTTTAAGATATGTTAATTTCGAATGTACAATTTTTCCAATAGTTTTGCTAGAAAATCCATGGCAATTGTTTATAGTTAAACGATGTAAGTTTGGGCATAAATTTCCAATCTGATATAAGGTATCGTTGGTAACTTCACACCATTGAATACAAAGGCAATCTAATCTCAATATATAGAGAGGAGTTTGCATATTTATCGATTTTGTAAATCGTTCCCATAACCTGCAACGCTTTTTATTTTTGCCACGAAAACTGACTACTTCCCATAATATTGGAACAGAGTACATGTACCATAATCGGTTAACGAATAAGGCTGGGTATAGCGCACTATCATCAGTAAGGTAATAGAAAATTTCGGTTAATAGTTCGGGCAAGGTAAGTGGGTGTAGTTTAATGTATGACATCGCTACTTATCTTTATCGATTTATTATATAAAAGAACAATTATATCGAATGTATTGGTGAAGCTATCTTGTCTAAGAATCGGAGGTTGGTAAATAACCCTTCTCTTGTAATTTGCTTTTTATATAGGGAAATAAATCACATGTATATGGCACTTCGATAAGACATATACCTTGTTCCTTGCATATTTTCCGCTTTTTTTGATCTCTGATTTTTTGTTGTTCCAAGTCTATCTGACCTCGTTTATGGAACATTCGATTAAGAGTAAAATGTTGTATGCCCTGGAATTCATATGCCAATTTTAGCTCTCCATTATACCCGTCTAATTGCATCCCATTCAAAAATGGCGGTTTACAAGATGGAAATTTCTTACCTAACAGGTCCTCAAAAATATATCGAGCGGATCTCTCGCCTTTATTGTGATGGCATAGGGGGCACCATTCGAATTTACGCTCTAATACTTCTAATGGATACTCAAATTGATGGAGTCCATTTTTGCAGGACCAAAGAAATATTTCTTGATCATTGATTCGACCAGTCCTCCCAAGACAATGCCCATCACGCTTCTTAGCATAAATTTCAGCTTGTGCTAACTTACTATTGGAAACTCGAATAAAATGAATAGAACCAGTAGGATGATATTTACGCATAAATTCGTCTGGTGGATACTGTATTTTTTCTGGATTTTCAATAACCTGAAGTTCCTCTCTCTTGAAAGGTCTTTTAGGGTTGCGACCCATTAAATGAGCAATTGATTCGATCGGTTCACCAAGATAGTATAAAACTGGTTGTGGTGGATTTTTACCTACAACAACTTTTTTGATTCTATAAACCCGCAAACTCCAGTATGGATCGGTTGCCCTATGTCTGTGATCACCTTCTAGCTCGCCCGGTTTCAATAAATACCTAACTGCTGTACCCTTTTTTAATTTTATTTCATTTTTACCGATTTCTCTTTTAGGTTTAATCGAAGGCTTGGATTTAACTTCTTTCAATGTCATGGCATGGGCTGGCGTCATACCAATAAGACGGGTTTTACTATTATTCATATAATTGAGAATTTTTTGAAGAGCCTTATTCCATAATTTTGATCGCTCCCCTTCTGTTAATCGGCCCTCTATAGCATATTGGATCTTATATATTTTCTTCGCTACATTCTTTTTAAGTGCTTTAATGAATGCCAAACTTTCGAAACTGTAAGTATCAACAACTCTTATAACAACATTATATTGTTCCATTCCTTGAGAGAATGATCCACGAAAAGTTGCATCACCATCAGTCATTAACAATGTTGGCCAGGTAAGGGGATTGGCAGGATCTTCATATATTTCTTTGATTGCATTCCAAACTTCCAAACTATTTCTTGATGTTAATGAACGTCCAGCCTTGAAACGAGTTGTCACGTCAATTACTAGTAAACTGCAAACAAATACCCTTATACCATCTTGATTATCACGAACATGAATTAATATATCGCACTGATGAACTTTGTTGGGAATCTTGATCTTCTGGAAGCTTGCTTCAGCTTTGCACTTTTGTGGGGTGAGATATATTTGGTGATCATATTGATTATCTAACCATTTTGTTATATCTTTGAGTCGAAAATGGTCATATCCTTCTTCCCGACACGCCTTCTGCAATTTTTTACTATTTGGATGGAATCCAGGTATGTTGTAGTAAATTAAACGTAGGACAATTTGCAATTCCTTATTAGGATTAATTATAACAGTAGGTATACTCATTTTCGACACATTCTACTATAATAATAAATTATGTGTTGTGCAATAAAGTCTAAATAAAATTGAGCATAGAAGGTAGGTGTATTTATCGTTATTTCACGAAGGATGTGATCGGTGTATATATATGTGCTTTAACACTAACTCCGTTATTATATTTCGATGGATAATCTTGTTGTGACCATTAAGAAATTACGTATTCAGATCCAGAAAAATGAAGATTACATTACTTACCTGGAGAAAGAAATCACTACAAGGGATAATGAGATCGATATTCTCCGGACGCAAGTAAATGATCTCAAAATAAGACTCCGGAAAGCAGAGGCAGATGCTCAGTCCAATGACAAAAATATATCTGTCCTCGAACTCCAATTGGAAGAAATGGGTGAAGATATTTTGTTGCTTCAACATAGACTTCAAAAAATAAAAGAAGGGATGTTATTAATCATCCCAGACACATCGGCTAGTGTTTTTACATTATTAAATGAAACAAGAAATAATATTAGGATTTTATTTGATTCTGTCAGAGGTGAAAATGATCTGTTAAATGGCGAAATTGATAATTTGCAGACCCAGACCGAATTGAAACTCACTCAAATTCAAAACAAGTGCCACATATATGAGCGTGAAAATAATCAGCTCCAAGAAGGGTTGGCTCAAGAATATGAGGATGAAGTGGGGCGTCTTCAAACAACTATAAATGAGCAGAGGGATCGAATAGATGAATTGGGCAACGAAGCTCGAAATTGGTATCAAAGGGCCAATCAGTTGCAAGGTCGCTATGATACAGTTCTTAATGAAAGAGATCGATACAGAACGGAGTGCTTCCAACAAGAAGAAACTCTTAGGGGGATCCACGAAAATATGGCCCATGAAGGTGCAGATCAATTGGATTTGGAAGATGAGAACGCCAATTTAAAAGAAGACTTGCGCATAGCTGGTTTAATAATTATTGCTCTACGAGTTAGACGCCTAATTCTTATAAATAGGGGGTATGCATTATGGCAAGAGGCTAATAATAGAGCACGGCGTTACAGACGCAGGTACACTCTTACCAATTCGCATAACCTTTATGGGCGTCTGACTATTCGGGCTCAAAATAGGCGCAATGTAGAACTGCTGAGAGAGAAATTTGCTTTCCAGCTATTGATTCAGCGATACAATAGACGATTAATAACTTGTCATAACCATGGTCAGAATTTACAGTTACAACTAACTACAGCTCAGAACGATTTATTTTTGAGTGATACCCAACTTAATATCAAGTGGGGCAAGTGGAAAAATAGAACACGGAATGCTGAGCAATTAATTTTGAATTTACAAGGACAAATTTTACATTTACAGAATAATCCACCTATAAATCCAAACATGGCGGCCGCCAGCAGACAACATATTTATCAAACTATTCAAACATGTCTTGCCCACATTCCATCATATATTGGGCAGGAACCACCAAATGATTATTGTAATAGGATTGAAACAGCTATCAGCTATACTGATACGATGATTGCTGATGCCAATAATGCAAATAACAATACTTTTACTGATGCACATAAGGCAGATATCTATAAATCGAAAATGGCTGGAAAGTATTTACCAGTTCCGGCTCAACATGCAGGAAATAATATTGATACTCCAGCCCGATTCAGAGTATGGCTTGGAGATACCTATTTACAAAGAACAGTTGGTACTCGCCAGTCTGCTATTCAAAGATTATCTCAAGAAACATTTAAGACTGATGATAATCCAGATATATATGAAGCTAGAATTCAAAAATACCTATTAGGAGTGCCCGATAATGATGATAATGCTTTGGGATTTCTTATGGGGCATTTACCTGGTGAGCTTTTTATTCGGATGGAAAGAGCAAATCCTCGTAGTATCACAGCTTTCTTTACTTCACTTAAAGAATTATGGCTTAAGCGTCAACCGTCACTTGGCTATGGAGGCTCAATTCCCAATCAAATTCCTCAAGTTTCAACTGTTAGTGAGCAACCGTCAAATACAGTTTCAGCTTTAATTACCCCCGAAGAAGTAGATAGAAAAATTCAAACAGCGGTTGCTTTATTAGAGAATCAAAAGAGTGAATCCAACAAAATACGTTCCGATCCAAATTTATACTTGAATAGTATGGATTCTGATCCTTCCTTTTTTCAGAATCTTATGAATATAATGAAGGATATTTCTAATCACCTCTCTAACCACGAAATAACCGCTTCTGGCAAGGGAAAAAAGAATAACTCTTCAAGTAGTGATGACATGGATGCAATTACAAAAGGTATGGCAGAATTATCATTAAATGTGGCTAAAATCAAAAAATCTCTACGTAGATGTTCATATTGTCATAAGACGGGTCACACTTCCCGCACTTGCCCTAAAAGAAAAAAGAGCAAAAGAAAAGCTCGCGTACACCATATTAGTAAAAATGATAACTCAGAATCCGACAGTGATTGCTCTGATAGTGAATCTGGAACAGAGTCCGATTCTGGAGAGTCATCAGGTGAATCCGATCATAGTATTGATGTACATTTTTCTAAATCAAAAAAAAAGTGACCCGTAAGAAAAATTCTGGCAAATCGTCTTCATTAAAATCCAAACAATCCAAGGTTAAAAAAGAGAAAACAAAATTTCAGGTTCCCCAATTCAAGTCCCGCAAGGAAAACCAAAGCAAGCAAACAACTTTAGAACAGACTATTCGTAAGATTATTCGAAGTGAACTTAAAGAAATCATACCACCATATCTATTACAGAGCTTTGAACCTAAATTTAGTTCCATAAAACCCGCCCACGCAGAAAAGTTACCTCCCATTCAGGATAAGATTTATCGCGAAACAGCTTCAGAAATACCCGATTCAGATGGGGAAGAGGAGACGTTGGATGATCCTATGGAGATTGATTTTGTTCAGAGAAGGGATCCAGCCACGGATATTGCAACTGCAGAGTGTAAAATCAAACGTTTAATAATTCCGGCCGCCGGTCTTGATTCTTGTGCTAATTTTCCTATTATGACCGAGGATATTGCTAAACGTGCCAAGTTAGTAATAGATACAAAGGAAAAGCACGATCTTAGTGGAATTGCTACAACCCCTACTGAATCCATTGGGACCATTCGTAATGTTCCTGTGACTTTTGCCCCGGGTTGCACCATATATTCTGATTTTGCAGTTGTTAAGTATCGCAAACCAATGTTAATTTTACCTAATACATTGCTCGATAAATATGATTATGATTTACTTGCATCAAAGCGTGAGTTGAAACTTATATGTAATGGTAGGGAATATTTCATTCCAGTTAATATGCATCCAATCAAAAATAAACTTGAGGTAAACTGTACAAATGTAGTCCAGGATAAGTCTTCGACATCAGACCAAATTTCACAGGAGGTAGATAGTGACTCACAGAGTGATAATGTTATCACATCTGAGGATGATAAAATACTATTCGAGAAATGGTGTGCGCCTGCAGGTTTCAGTTCAGATTCTGTCAACTCGTCACTAAAAAAAAACGCATGAGCTATGAGGTACTCGAAAAAGCACTATATGAGGTACTTGATTCTAATACTGAATTAATCGAGCTTAATAAAAAATTACGGGCATATAGAAATGAGTCTGATATTGAAACGCTATGTAGATTACAGACTACTCTAGAAAAAACAAAAATAGATTAGTTGGAATCCATGAATCTTTTCGACTTACGTTTAGCTTCTTCTCTTTCTTTGCGACTTTGTGTAAGTTTAGCTTGTAGGTCATCCATTTCATCTACTTTTTTTATCGGATTATTGGTTATGTCAGCCTTATTAATAATAGCGGAGCTAGTGCCAGGGCACATATTGACTGAATCAGATATTCGAACAGACCTGGGACTAGATCCTGATTTTCTTTTCTTTGACCACCTATCCGAAGTATTATTTTCAGGCATTACCTCAGAAGAAGCAACACTATGTATTATTTGTTGTTTGCGCAGGGGTAATCCTTGAGCATGTCTTTTCCAAATTTCATAAATTCTACGAGTTGAAGTTTCATATTTATCAGCCATTTCCCTGCACGCATTTTTAACCGTCCCCCGAGATTGAATGATTTCCTCAATAGCTTCTGGAGATAGATAAGGAGTGCCGGCGCGATAATATTCCACGGTTACGTGTTCCATCCTTTTTTTATAATTATAAAAAATTATCGAAGATTATTGAAAATACTAAAATACGCCTATATCTCTTATGATCAAAAATTACCGAAAATTATTGAAAACGCCCCACACCCCTTATGATCGAAAATGATCGGTAATTATATGTAATTACATACTTAATATTCAATAATTTTCTAAAAAAATCGATAATTATCTGATATTGTTGAATTATATTAGAGGCATATTTTTTGATAGCTTCACCAGATAAGTATATATATCGTATGCCCCATATTTTGTTATTTTCTATAATATTTCTTATTATTTAATATGGCCAATGTGATAGACCTTAAGAAGGAATTATATGACGCCCTCCAAGATTCTTCCGAGATAGCTTCTTATAATGCTAAATTGCGAGACAAATATGAAAAACGAGAAAAAGATTTTAACTGAGAGAGGGTGGAATGGGGTCAAAAGAGAAAAAAAGAGATAAAACGGTGGGATCAGGAGAGGGAGCAGGAGAGGGAGCGATGGGGTCAGGAAAGAAATAAATGGTGTCAAAATTTTGAAACTGTTGCTACGAGAAATCAAAATCTACAGATTGAAAATGCTAGTAAAGCTATTTCTCTTGGAGGATATAAGGCCGATATAAAACTACTCCGAAATGAGATTGAGACTTTGAAAAATGAGATCGAGACTTTGAAAGATGAGATCAAGACTTTGAAAGATGAGTTAGATTCGTCCCAGAAGGACTCATCGGAAAAAGATTCTGAGTTATTGTCCCTTAGATCCAAGTTGGCCTCTAAAGTCAGTGAGCTGGAGCGTCTAAAATCGGAGGCTATACCGAAACCCGCAATTGGTGGAGATGACGAAAAAAATACACGGAGTGGAAAACAAAGTTTCATATCGAGAGACGAAACCCCATTACAAAGCAATAATAGCGAAGCTAGTGTCAAGACACATATTTCTGCGGATAATGGTCTCAGTCAATATTTAGTAAAAAATAAAGATATGGATCAGCAGAGCTGACATGGCCAAGATAGGAGAACTAGCGCACTTGAAAAAATTGATACTATTGCTTCGCAGCCACAGGCTATATCGGATCATACTGATGATAAGATCACCCCTATACCTGAGGAATCAGTAATTCGAAGCTATGCCTTACTACCAGAAGTCGATACCGAGATTATTCCCAAGGTAAGTGATGATGAAATTAATAAAGATATGGACAAAGTTCCATGCCACAGTGGTGACGCCTTCGGCTTGCAAAGCAATAATATGCTAGATGCGTGGATAAAACCTGATGCATTATCAATTACACCAGAGAATGTGACCTCACATTTTGCACGATGGGAAAATAATATACCCGCAGAGCCTAAATCACATCCTCAGATTTCGGTTGGAGGGATAGAAGCTATTCCTGATAAAGCAGGTAGTTCACCTCTAATGGCATTTATTATACTCGGGTTATTAATTATCGTTTTTATATGGTTCGTAATAAATCGTGCGTGGGGGTTGGAGAGGAAAAGTAGGCAGTTGCAGGATGCGTGGGTTGGATAACAAGACTATCTATTTGAACTTGGATATTATTCGTATACAAAAATATAATAGTTTCTAATCATGTCTAGTAACGGAGTTAGTGCTAAAGTACCTATTTGTTTTAGTTGTAAGGAACCATCGTCGCTATTGTATATAGATCGCATTGTTACTCATTCCTTTATGGTTGTAGGGATGAGATTTCGCGGTGGCCATAAGTTTAAGAAATCAGATATCATTACTCTTGAACTGGAGCCTTCTAATACATATGATAAGAATGCGATAAAAGTTATGGTGGATGGTACCCATAAAGCCTATGTGGCAATGAATGAGAATGTAAGTATAGGAGATTTGATGAAAAAATACCCGAATTATCAGATCACCGCTCATGGGAAAAAGAACTATAATCAATCAGCATCTTTGAATCTTGAATATCCTTGGATGGTCTGTGGGAGCTGTCACGATACACTGCTAGCATCGAGAGATTATGACTATAGTTATTGATCAATCTATTTGAAGTTGGATATTAATTATGTACGAAAAAATATTTATTGTATAAGTATCTTTAGTGGGTGTCGCAATTCCAACCAATAATACTTAGCAATATAGCATAACACAGCCAATTAATTCAAGGCTTTGATATATTTCGTAAGCCATTTTTTAGCTTCTCTTTGGGAATATGCGTCAATCTGTTTTTCTTTCTCATCTGAATCTTCAAGTTGCATAATTTTATGTGAAGATGGTGGTTGATATTTCCCGTCTTCATTAATAAATCGCGCACATAATCCCAAAGTACTTTCTATATAGTGGCTGATATTTATTTCCATATTCTGCTTTCTCGCAAACTCTGGATATTCCATATAATCACTAAGTCTATATGGTATTAGTCGACCTTTTTCATCACGATAACGTTCACCCTTTACTATTACGTAACTGAAGCGCTCACCAGGATCTGGGATATTAAATTTTTTTTCTTTCATTCGAGTTATAAAACGCTGAACACGAAGATTTTTTTTCTTAGGCTTCCACATAGCCGTCCCAATAAATTGACTAAAGTCCCATTGCTTATCTTTGGCCTCTCTGAGAATATCTTCAACAATTTTATGAATTGATCGTGTATTATTTATATCCATAGCTTCCCACATGATTTTTTCTCCGATAAATTTGAAAAGCTGAGACTGGCCTTGCTTTATGCTATCAATCCCTTTTTTAAAGAGATTATCTGGTTTAAAATTGACAACCCCTTCATGCGGTACACCGAAGTATTTTTTCTTGCCAGTAAAACAAACAGGAAATAATACCTCTTCATATGCCATTTTAAGATAAGATGTGTCATTTTTTATCCTCAGATAAGCATTTACTTCATCACGTAACTTTTTCATCACATTCATAGTAATTTTAACCATTTCAGACCAGTATTCCTCCTTGAAAAGGTTTCCTTCATTAAAAGCTCTATCATATTTTTCATAATATTTATCTGGACAGGTAAGATATAAAGAATCGGTATCCCCATATTTTATTCCGAAACCTTTTCCGGATACGAATTTAGCAACAAGATCAATATTGTATTGACCCGCAGAAGTGATTCCTCCAGCTAATTCACGAAGAAAGAATGGAGATTTGCTGTTTCCTGCTTCCCCATAAAAAGTATTCATATATACCTTTAAAGCGAACTGCTTGGAATTTAAACAATTATAATCGAAACATATGGATGAATATTCTGAATTTAAGCTTTCTGGGATTTTTTTACTTTTCTCTTTAACCGAACTTATCATTTTCCCAAGGTGTTCCTTTTTCTTTCCTATTAAGGCAAGTTGTGCTTTAAGATTTACTCTCTTGTTGAATAGATCCTCCAATACAATAGGATATAAACCCTTCTTCTCGAATTGATTATCATGTCTCACACACCAAGCATGGATAATACGGTTATTAAATGGAAACTCAATCTTATGCAAGTTATTTCTATTTTTTTGTACAATATCAGCCTCGCTATAAGTTAATATCATTTTTTCTGGAGAAAAGTTGTAAGCCATAATAAGACTGGGATATAAAGATGCAAAATCCAATCCTGTAACAGGCCTCTTCGTCTCAATTCCTTTTTTAGGTGAAAATACGTATGCACCAGGATACTTACCTTTTTCTACATTTTTACACGATCTCGTACTAAATAGTATATTACGTTTAGTGGCATAAGCCCCCAGAAGATTTCGTACCTTCATTCCATTTGCCCGATAATGTGAATCAAACAAAGATACATAGGCTATAGAAGCAACCTCCCTATAGTCATTAATTACATTTCGCTTAACCATAAGCTCCTGGCAACGCAATGCATCTATAATACAATAATATGCTACTTTACGCATGTTTTCTATAGTAGAATGCGATTTATTTGAGGAAATACTCTCTTTTACTTCTGAGTAAATTTTCCACATTTTATTATATGGCATATCCGCTTTACCGCCCAATCCACATATTTTTAAGTAAAATGCAAGTGAACTTTTCCTATCAACCTCTGCACGAGGGTAAAGTTTCTTAAAACATGCACGTATGTCAATTGGTACACATCCTGGTACTTTAAGAAAAGTAGAAATATAATTATCCTCTGGACTAATCTTGATTATAACTGGCTGTACCCTATCGTTTTCTTCCTCACTATTATCAATAGCGCCTTTTTTAATTTGAAAACTATTTTTAGATTTTGTCCCTATTTTTCCGTAATAATTCCATTTTAAAATTTCTTCCTTCGATTTAAATCTTCCCGTTATCTGTTGCCACATCCATTCGAGAATATTAAGTTTATAAGCTCTTTCCATAATAAATGGCCAATCATATTCGGAATCGCTAAATCCGAGTTGAATATCAGGAATGAAGGCTTTTCAGCATAATGCGAATGCTTTTAGTAAATTTGTCTGGTTCCCACATACAACTGTTATCCATCGTGGGTCTGGTGCAGTTTCAAGATCGACAAGACAGATTTGTTTTAACGGTTTTGGATCATCTTTCCAGTGCAAGGTCATACAAATCATGAATACGATACTTTCTTCATCATGTATTTCAGCAAATTCGCCCAACTCTCGTGATTGTGTCTCTATATCCCATATAAGGATAAGCGTACGATCTCTCATGAGTGCTGAAATCGGAAAACGGTCACTTATCATTTTTAGATCTTCTACTGGTCGAAAATCGTTTATAGAAACCTGAAAATCGTGTGTATAATGGGAATGTTTCTTGTATCTATACTTGCTTATCATAGACCAACCAGAAATCGCAATTCCATTTTCTCTAGCTATTTTACGGTGGAATGAGAACATATCGTCTGAAGCAGTTTCGAAATTGTTATCTTGGATAGTTTGGAGAGCTTTCTTCCTATCTCCACTACCAAGTGTAAAAATTCGTAAATATGACTTTTTTTCTGTATGGTAACCACGTAAGGGGAAGGCTTTAATATATTCTATTTTATAGGTATTTATAACACTAGAGAGAATTGCGTC